TCGGACTTACAGCAAACAGAACTGAGATTTTAGGCACAGTCCCCATGTGGAATGTGTCCCAAAATGAGTAACAATCAGCAAAACCATGGGTGACATCATTCACAAAAACCATCATTTGAAAACATTCTAGCTGTACTCTAAGGCTATGGCTATTCTTTGTGAGCCTACAGGTTTCAGAATATCTTTCTGATAACTTGCTTTATGAACAAGTATATTTACAAGGGTGTTGAAGTCTTTCTATGATTCTGTTGCAACTATTAAGAATTATATTTTAGGCATAGACATAGAGAGATACATAAGAAGCTGCCTTGTACTGAATCAGGCTGCTGGTCCATCTAACTTAATGTTGTCTACACTGATTTTCAGTGGCTGTCCAGAATTTCAGTCAGGGTATATTTCCATCCATACCTGGAAATGACAGGGATTGTTCCTGGGACCTTCTGAATGCAAAGTAATAACAGAGATCATTCCAGTGGTTCCCAGGAAAAGACTTTGGAAAATATATTAAGAAGGTTAATTGGTTTCATTCTAATTCTGAGTTTTGGGCATCGTCTACACTGAGTCTTTGGAACGTAAATGCATTTGGCATTTGGGAGGGGCAAATGCTCTTCACTTTTATATGCCAGCTCAATTATGTTTAGTCTCATCTGATTACATTCTAAAATGAGAGATGCTGGAACACATGAAAACTTAGGTGGATAAGACATGTCATTTACAAAACAACAGCAAGCAATTTTCTGAAATACCAGTCCTTTAAATATTTTCCAAACGATGTTAGTCTTGGTGGAGATGATAAAATGCTGTGCTGCACACTCTTTTTTTTCCAAAGAAATTTTGAAGTGAGGCTGCTGTAGGCATTTGACTTCCCAAATGAATAGTATTGAGTAAGCAATGTCTCCATTATTATTTTATTATAGAAGGGAAAAAACACAACCTAGGGAAATCCATTGAAACAACAGCTCAAGCATTCGTAAGTGTTTCAGCTGTTTATTTCATCTAAAATATATAAAATTTATGTCCCTGGGTTTTGGAAAAAGAACAATGAAATAAATGCATTTAATAGTTTAAACTGAAGAGATGTTCCCATTTCTTTTTGTGAATACAGTGGTACCTCAGGTTACATACGCTTCAGGTTACAGACTCCGCTAACCCAGAAATAGTGCTTCAGGTTAAGAACTTTGCTTCAGGATGAGAACAGAAATCGTGCTCTGGTGGTGCGGCGGCAGCAGGAGGCCCCATTAGCTAAAGTGGTGCTTCAGGTTAAGAACAGTTTCAGGTTAAGTACGGACCTCCGGAACAAATTAAGTACTTAACCTGAGGTACCACTGTATTCCTTCATCAGACACTTCATGCTTGTAGTGTAAGTATTATACAACATAACGTTAGAAGGAGGACGTAGTCACTCAGGCTGCTTCCACAATGATAAGTCCCATGAGGAATAATCAGAGTAATAGCCATTGGTCCTCAGAAAAACATCAGTTCATGAAGCTACTTGGACTGAGTAGAGATTACTTTTAAGTAGCCAATAGGAATGGGGGAGAAATTCAATTCAGCTTGCATTTAAAAGCAAACCTACATAATTCACACTTTATGGAACAATACACTAGCCAAAACACAGCATCATTTGAAATTCACACTTCTCTGAATTTTTCAGTGCAGTCAAGTAATGAGTACAAAAATACATGTACTTGAGTAAATTGTCATATAAATTCATATTCTAGTAAAAAAAAACATACAAAACTATGTAACAGGTGAGATGGCTTTGCAAATATATATATATTAGAAGAAATGTGCACTAAAATGCTGTTCAATTATCATGATGACTTAAAAAAAAATTGCAAACTGATATGGATATGTGGGGAACAGAAGACAGAAAAAAACAAGAAACTAATGGTCCAAGTTTCCCATACCTAACAGCTATAGTCTAATTTACAAATACCTAAAGCTTGATTGGGACATGGGTGGCGCTGTGGGTTAAACCACAGAGCCTAGGACTTGCTGATCAGAAGCTCAGCGGTTCGAATCCCCGCGACGGGTTGAGCTCCCATTTCTCGGTCCCTGGTCCTGCCCACCTAGCAGTTCGAAAGCATGGCAAAGTACAAGTAGATAAATAGGTACCGTTCCGGCGGGAAGGTAAATGGCATTTCCGTGTGCTGCTCTGGTTCGCCAGAAGCGGCTTAGTCATGCTGGCCACATGACCCTGAAGCTGTACGCCTCAGCCAATAAAGCGAGATGAGCGCCGCAACCCCAGAGTCAGTCATGACTGGACCTAATGGTCAGGGGTCCCTTTACCTTTACCTAAAGCTTGATTTCTTCAATTCATTGAACCTTTTAAAAATGTATTCCGAAAGTGGTTGCCCCAACCCTAGCAAGGCTTGGCCTCTGTTGCTCAGTGCATAAGCCCAGAGCTATATAACATCAACCTATGCAGTGTCACTGTGGACTTTCAACCCAGCTGCTCAGAAGGGATGGAGGCTTGCATGGCAGAGGGAGGAGTGAGCAGGACCAGCCTTGTTAGCACTAGGAAAATCATGCTTTAGCTGTAGCTATGCAAATACTGCAGCTCAAGCATAACCATAGACTTGAGCTGTTCTGGTGATTGCCTGTGCCTAGTGATTTACATACACAGTAAGCTGCACTTTACAAATCCACGTTGCAGAACATTTTTCACTTCACACGTTCCCCAAAGAAGATAGCTTGTCCTTGTCAACAATATCACAAATAGGTCTGAAATGAAAATGTTATTTGTGGCCCTTATCAGCCTGCAAGCTCGAGGAAGGATAAACCTAAACTGGTGCTACTTCGTTTGATTGCCACCTCATGAGAAAGGTTTTTGTTTTTTTTAATGGTAGGATATAGATCTGTAAAATAAATGAATTGCTACTGACTTTTTTCCATGGGTTTTTCTATCCTTTATCCAGGATGATGTACATAGGGATGTTTCTTCTTATTTACAATCACCTTGTGAGATTGATTAGGCCAACGTATAGTGATTTCCCTCAAATTACTCATCAAGTTTGAGCCTTGATTACTGAATGAAGACTCCATTAAGGTGTTGGTAACATAAAGATCAAACCTATCCATTCTTAAGGAAATCAGCCCTGAGTGTTCACTGGAAGGACAGATCCTGAAGCTGAGGCTCCAATACTTTGGCCACCTCATGAGAAGAGAAGACTCCCTGGAAAAGACCCTTATGTTGGGAAAGATTGAGGGCACAAGGAGAAGGGGACGACAGAGGACGAGATGGCTGAACAGTGTTCTCAAAGCTACGAACATGAGTTTGACAAACTGCTGGAGGCAGTGGAAGACAGGAGTGCCTGGCGTGCTCTGGTCCATGGGGTCACGAAGAATCGGACACAACTGAACGACTAAACAACAACAACATCATAAAGGTATTAATATGGTTAATATAATATAGCTCCCTTGCAAAGCTACTTGACACATGCCTGCTGTTTAGTGAGAAGAGGATGCTGGCTGGACTGATCCAACAGACTCTTTTTACTTAGTCAACCTCTATACACAGTTAAATTCCTTGGTCAAAAGGCAGTATTGATATGAAATTGTCCAGCAGCAGTACGTCACAGCCTTTTCTCCCTATACACATAAAAATGTAAGGTTGTTGTCACGTTGCAGTGTGTAGCCACACCAGCTCCAGCATAATGACAGAGTGGCAGGCAGCACAGGTGAGCTGTTTTAACTGAGGATTAGGAGCACTTCACAAACCACCCTGTGAAGTGTTTTCCCCCTCCCTCGTTAAATGCAGCTACAATTAGCTTACGGGCTTGGGGTAGGCTAGGAGGTGATGGTCAGTGAGATGTAAAAAATGGGTGTTTATGCAAGTATAAAGGAAGGACAGACTGGTTAGGTGTGAAAGAAGGGGGGAGCTGGCAGATACGTAGGTGAAGCTAGCAAGCAAAGTGAGTTGGGGCAACAGTCTCCATTTATTTATACAGTATTTCTTTCATCAGTCCCCTGCTGGTATTTCTTTGGGCACTTGCAATGAATTCAGAAGTGGCTTGTTTATTACTTTATAATAAATTAGATTTTGGCCACAGAACTGCCTTGTTTTAACATACTTTCCCATAACCTTTTATTCTTTTACATTTGTGGTGCCCTACTTTCCGTCAACTGCATTATTGATCAGAACATCAACTGTCCCTTTATGTGACAAGCTTTTTTATGGTCTGGATAAAGATCATATTAAATCTTTATGACACCTATAATGTTCCAGTGGATAAGTGAGTAGAACAGAATGTTTTGATTGTGGTTGTACTTTGTATCATGTAAGGAGCACAACCATAGCTCAGTGGTAGAGCAGCGAAAGTTCAGTCCCCAGCATCTTCACGGTGCACTGGCAGAAAATCCTGTCTGAAAACCTGGAGAGCCACTGCTGGTCAGTACAGAAAATACTGAGGTTGATAGACCAACCATCTGACTTGGTGTAAGGTAGAGCTTCCTATGATCCAATACTCTCAGTGATTGTTAACTGTTAAAAAACAAAAACAAAACCCTGATCTGACTCATTAATAATCAATTGGTGGAAATGCCAATGAGCTTAAAAATGGCAAACCCATAATTAAGATTGTAAGGTAAGGACAAACAATAGGACCCAAAGCATGTAGAGAAGCCCTGACCAATGACTTTTTTCTTTTTTAAGAAAATCATCTTTGGGATGGAGCATTTTAGCAGAGTTGGGGCAAGGGAGATTGCTTAACCTACTAATCATTTTTTGTTGTTGTTCTGATTTCCCCTAAGTTGGTCCAACATTCCAGGTGCATATTTACTATGAATGGCTTCTAGTTTTCATGATCACAAGTCATATATATTTATCAAGCTTTATTAATATAAAACTTAGTAAAAAAACCAGTTAATTCTGTACATTAAGACATGGCTCTGACAAATACTATACAAAATCTCTGACAATACCATACAAAATCTTTTTACATGTACAAAGATGAATAAACTCTAACAAAGTGAGTCCAGATTAGAACAGGCATTTTTTCCTTTACATTCTGCCTTACTCCTTTTTGCCATTTACTTACCCTACACTCATCAATTTTCTCTCAGTAGATTTAGTTTTTTAAAAGCATCACATGTCTAGGCATGGTAAGTAGCGTAAGAGCAAAACAAGCATGGTGAGCACATGCACATGGTGTCACAGAAATTTCTGTAGATAAGTATTTCAGCATTTTTAAAGTTTGAGAAAATAAAAAATGCCAAATGAAAATGTTGCAGCATGAAGACACTGATATTTAAATTTGCATCATATAGCAATCCCATCTCTTTGTCTGATGAGACTGTATACATACTCTTTAGAGTTGGTGAAAGTGGAAATCTGACCTACCAGAAAGAATCAATGAACAATCAAAGTGTCAATGAAAAATCAAGTACTTTGGTTCAGCTCCTTACATTATTTACTTACATTAAGGCATATATCATCTAGATGTGGTGTAAATTGCACTCTACATAGCTGATGTGGGAATGAGAGATTCTAGTAACACTGGTGTTGAACTGAGTTCCAATTAAATAAGCGGGACTTACTCCCATGCAATATGTTTAGGTTTGGCAAATACAATTCATTTATTTGATGAAATATTCCATAAATGAAGAAGCTTTAACTAGATTTCTTCTAAAACTTAACATCTACATTTGGCATTTTCGAACAATTTTTGTCTAAACATATTAAGTGTGAAGTGAGCTAACAATCTAAATTTAAACCTTGGGACAGACTGAGATTAAGTTAGCTGAATTTAGGTCCTAATGAAGTCCAAGGGGCAAATTTGTCATAACTACTTAAGTCCCATTGAAACCAGTAGGAACTAATTGCAACTGTCTGGATCAAGTCCCTTAAGGCTAAGAAGACAGAGTGTGCTTGAAGACAAAATAACCTTGAATCATTTTGCCCCAGACAGTCTGCAAGAGCTTTTCAATTTTGCAAAGGAAAGGCTGGATAATTAGCAGACACTCCAGCCTAACAAGTCTTTGCATTTGCATTCTTCCAATGATATAGAAGAGTCATTACGAAATGTAGAACACCTGTTCAGTATCAAAAACTCTGCAGCAGACATGGAAACTTCAGTGGCTGCCTTAAGAATAAACTATGGATAAATCCTTGGAAATCTGCATTTTTCCTGCAAGGGAAGTTTCAAGCAGTTTGTTTTCTTCACACAACTGAATGCAGCCACCTGGAAGACCTCAAGTCTTTCAAGAAGTGAGTCTGTGGTGCAACATCATTGTAGGAGTCCAAGTCAGCTGTTAGCACTGTCAAAAAAATAAATTAAGAATAGACCTTTTATCAAAGATTGCTGTAAAGAGTTACTGACAAGTTTGAGTAGAAACCAGAACTGCAGATCAACCTATTAGTCTAAGATTCAAATCTTACATGATCTTGGAATTGTCAAGTTTTTAACTTTGCTTTGCCGCTTGACAATACGGATTATAAATGGGAATTCTCCTTTAAATCCCCTCCCCCGAAAACAGTAAAGAAAAAGAAACTACGTTTGCACACCAGCTGTGAGAAGATAATTTTTCTGGACAACTAAAGAAGTGCTTTTGTTTCTATACATAATAAGTTAAGCTCTACAGAAAACATTTTTTAAAAATCCGTTTCCCATAAAACCGGAGAATGCAAATGAAAGATTCCAGTCTTATTGCTTTTTAAAATAGATTTGTAATATTGTTTTGACTTGTAAAAAAAAATTGTTCTTGTAAATGGATATTAGCTGACTGCAGATTTGTATATATATTAAAGTCCATATAAAACTAAAGTCCTGGGAAATTAAGTTACAGAGGAAGCACATTTCCTCTGGAACAGACTTGAGGCCCTTTCAATGTTTTGGAATACAACTCCCATGATCCCAGACCATTGGTACCAAGTTGGGAGAAGCTGATCTGCAGCAATGGAGTGTACATAGCTATTTGATGTAACACGTTAGATATGTTTTAAATAAAGTAACAGGGATGGAATAAATGTCATTTTAGGGCGTCTATTACAAGCATACTTGCAACAGAATCCTATGAATGTGTACTCAGAAGTACGGCCTATTAAGTTTGGGACTGCGCTCTAAGGGTGCTGTTACCAAAAAAAAACCTTGTGGGTAGTTGAAAAGCCTAACAAGGAGCTACAGATATTTGACTGAACTTTAATGTCAAGCACCTGAAACCTGTATGGCAACCTTCACATAGTTGTCATTGTTCTACAGTCTGGTTCACTAACAAAAGATCACTGAACATATTGGCAGCCAGTGGGCAATTTAATAACCTCCCACTCCACTAAAATAAATTGGCCTATACTTGTCATTTTTAATAAACCAGACCCACGCATTTCAAGAGGAGCTATTCTAAATTTAAACAAAAATCAGCATCACAGCAATCTTTGGAAATCTCCTTTCAACATAAAAGTGGTCAGATTATAAAGCCACAATAATATTAATTCTATTGAATCATGTCCCCCCAGAAGTGAAGCAGTTCTTACCTGCTGGCTGACAATGTTTTCCTGCCTACATTCTGAGGCATGGGCTCACAGTGGAAGAAGCTTTTTATCCACCAGCATCTTTCAAACACGTCAGGTAACCCTATAAAAGCGTACACATATGGAGTTGGTGAATAATAAAAACCAAAGCAACAAAAAAGGCTATTAATTTTAATGAAGCAACAATACCAGAAAAGGCAAAGCATACTGTAGTCTTATCTGAAAACATATTAGAATTAAATGCACAGTTGGGTCTGGCTGGTCAAATGATTCCCATTAAGTATGCTAAACTTTTCTGGATGTTAGCTAATAATTTAAGTAAGCGTCAAAATACCATGATGTGCTTTTTCCTGGTCCAAGGAGTTTGTGGGTTCAGAGCAGCAAGATGAACTGCTTGAAGAAACACTAGAGTCAGAATTCAGTCGTGCTGTGTGTGAAAAAGAGAGCCTACATTACATTTGGGGAAATCAAATCAGTATCATACACACCAGTGTTTAAGGTTCAAGCCACCTTCGATTACTTTCAAAGAAACAACTCTTAAAATGTAACAAATGGTTAGTAAACACATATCCGTGCCTATTGTTTCAAACAGTGGCTAATTTTTTACACTTCTGTAAGCAAACATTAATTGCAGGGAATCAGGTTGCATCATATGACCACAAGTTAGTATGATTCAAATGCATATGATACATTCAAATAAGACTGAGATTAAAAAGATTATTTCAATATTAAATGTTTCTTGGAGAAACAAAGGATTCCCTCAGGAAAAGTCATATAAAGAGAGCTAGTTTTAAGGGCAGGTGGTCCAGGAAACTGCTGGGGGAAATCAAGTTTGGTGGGCAACAGGTTCCAGTTAGGGGCACCTGCCACAGGTTAGATGACAGGAATAAATCATGCATGCAGAAATTGGCTACAAATACAATTAAAGATATTCCAGAGCTGAGCAAAAGGACGGGTGAAGCAAATATACCTCTTGCTTGTGGTGCTTTTAAATCTAAGGCCAGCCCTAAACATGAATAATGAAACCCATACTACTATGCACACTAAACATGTGGCTGTCTGTACAGAAACAAACATTTTGAGATCATGTTAGTCCTCCTTTCAAGGCAAAAAACTTACTTCTGTAGTACTGGTTCTTTGCCAGAAGGCACCCAGCAGAAGGCACAGCTGCCATTGCAATGGTTCTGCCCAGACAAAAAGGCAAAAATTATGTAAGGACACCTGCAGGTCAAAAGAAAATAGGTAAGTTGTAGGTTAATTTGCTAAACCACAGCATAGAGATCAGATCTCTACAGCACTGGGAACTGTATCACATACTTGCACTATAAGATTATAGACCTTATACTCTATGGGTCTGAGTTTCCTAGGGACAGAGGAAATATTCTTGTAGATGAAGAATGTGTGGATCTTTCCCACATGTGCCCAAAGTCCTGAGGTTTATGCTCACTACATGAAAATAAATCCCTCAGATTATGTTGCACCTTATCATTGAGCTCAGGCACTTGCAAATGAATGCTTTTGCAACTGTTGGGAGCATTTTAAAGTCAAGAGATGGCCATACAGAAAGCCAAATCAGATGATTTGTTCATCCAGCCTAATATTGCCTGGCTTCGATTTAGAGCTGGCAGCTTTCAGGCAGAAGTTGTTCGCATCATGTCCTACCTTAAACTGAAAATGCCCAAGCTTGGGGCCTTCTATGTGTGAAACATGTGATCTGCTTCTGAGCCCCAGCTTGGGTCTTCTGTGAATCTGCAGATCTATCATCAAATTGCTCACCTTATGTAAAGGAGCTACTTCCCATGTTGGCAACAACCCACTGACTATGAATGTGCACGTGCTATTTAGGATCAGGTGCTTAGAGATTCCCCCAACAGCCCAACTAAGATTTACATACCAGCACTGCAAAAGCTTTGCAACCTGTTAGATTCTCCAATTCAAAGCCATAATGCAGAGAGGCATATCTTGCATTGCCTACTGATAGAAACTCACATCCAGTCAAGGAAATGCAATCTCTACGAACCCGCTTGGGGCATTATTACTTCAAATCATGAGTTGCGAAAAGCAAACTCCAGAAGGCACTTTATTCCTGCAGAAAGTTTGGGCATTCATTCACGGAATCCCAAGCGGGGAAGGAGAAAACTAGGCATGCACATGATCAGTCTAGATTACCTGTTGCTTTCTTTCTTGGCAGAGATCAGCAGCCACGTCGCGCTTCTTTTTTTCCCTTCAGAGAAACACAAGACCTCGCCACAGTCTGAGAAAGCAAGCTCGCTTTCCCTGCCTGCCTGGCCGCCGCCTCTTTATATAGAGGAGCCCTCGGCGACGGAGCTGAAATTTGACCCGACAGGTGGGGGGAGCGGGGGCCGTCGCGCGCGACCGAACTCACTTGGCGCGCTGCCGGCTTGTCCTCCTTCAACCCGGGTCGGGCCAGGCCTGCTCAAGTCCCCGGATCCCCTAGCAGCAGTAGCAGCAGCAGCCATAACAACAACAATGAGGCGCCCGCCCTGGGCACGTGCTGCGCCTCTGGCTGGCCGGGGAGGAGCGCGTGCTCCGCAGTCGCCCTTTGCATCGGCGGCTGAGGGGAGCGCGCCTTCGCAGCTCCAGTCGCTGCTTCAGGGCCCGGGAGGGTTTTGGCGGGTGGCAAACGGAGCTTGGACACAATAGTTGCTTTCCTCCAGAGGATTAAGCAGCGGCGGGCTTAGCCGTCGAATAGGAAGGGCACACTTCAAAAACAAAAACAAAACCGTGTTTCTAGAGCGCTGCTTGGCAGCGCTGCCCTTTGCAAACAGCCCAGGTGTAAATCTCTCTGCTCGGAGGGCGCCGGGCGTGTATTTATGCCGCATTTCATAGACTCATAGAAATGTAGTTAGAAGGAAATCAGAAAGGTCATCTCCAATGCAGGAATCACAGCTGAACCACCCCGGACAGATGGCCTTCCTTTTTCTGTTTAAAAACCTCCACCACCTTCCAAAGTAGTCACTTTGGAGCAGCCAATGTTACTGTTTTATTCTTTTTTTGTAAACAGCTTTGAGGTTTTCTGCAATCAAGCGGTATATACATTTTATGAAGTAAATAAAAGAAATCTAGGGGGGGGGGACAGATTGGTAAACTCATAACAATAACACAAAAATGTTCCAGCCATCTTCAAGCAGAACAAAAATTAGCACCAGGAAGGTTGGCGGACATGACTGAGTCTTTAATGCTTCCCAAAGCCTGAAGTGCAGCCACCTGCCATAGCTCAACTGGGAGGGAGTTTCAAAGGTATGGAAACACCACCAGAAAAAGGCCCTCTCTTTCATGGTCCCCTATTTCAAACAGCAAAATTATGAAATGTCCTACTGCAAATGTAGTGATGCCACCCAAGTGAATAGTGTTAAAGGGGCTTAGAAAAGTTCGTGGCTAATAAAGCTACCAATGGCTACTAGTCGTGATGGCTACATGCTACTTCCAGCATCCGAGGCAGCATGCCTCTAGCAGCAGCCCGGGAGTACTATTGCACTCATCTCCTGCTTGTGAGCTTACTATAGGATGGAGTAGGCAACCCTTTGGTCTCATCCATCAGGGCTCTTCTCATGTACTTAATATACTTAAGATATACTTAATAGTGGCTGGCAATTTCCCATTTGTTCATCACCATAATAAGTATGGGAGCCAAACCTTTCTCTAATGGAGCTGATTTTACACTGTCGCCTCCAGTCAGACTCCGTTCTCCGGTAATGTTGGCAATAGTGCTGCAGAATGGTTGGCACCATAAAACCAGTTGTCCCCTTTCACTCCTTTAAGGGGAAACTGGCAGAAGCCTAGTTTCTCTTTAAAAGAGAACATTACTACTGACTGTCTGGACCAGGGATGAGGAACATGAAGCCCTCTGGATGTTGCTGAGCTCCAGCCATCCCTCACCAGTGGCTATGCAAGCTGAGACTGATGGGAGCTGGAGCCCAAGAACATATGGAAAGCTATAAGCTCCCCATCCCTGGTTTAGGCAATAGTATCTAGTGCAGTGTTTCCCAACCTTTTTTGGGCAAAGGCACACTTGTTTCATGAAAAAAATCTCAAGGCACACCACCATTAGAAAATGTTAAAAAATTTAACTCTGTGCCTATATTGACTATATAAAAAGTACAGTGGTGCCTCGCAAGACGAAATTAATTCGTTCCGCAAGTCTCTTCGTCTTGCGAGTTTTTCGTCTTGCGATGCACGGTTTCCCATAGGAATGCATTGAAAATCAATTAATGCGTTCCTAGGGAAACTGCCTTCAGACCAGGTCCGGGGACAGTCTGTCCCCCGACCTCTTCTGAAGGCTGGGGGGGGGGGAACAAGGGCTTTTCTTCCCACTGCCAGCCTTCAGAAGGCTGTTCTGAAGGCTGGCGGTGGGAAGAAAAGCCCTTCTTCCCACCTCCCGCCCCGCAAGCTCCGGGGACAGGAGGGCTTTGCTGCCGACCGCCAGCATTTTAAAAGCCCCTGCTGTCCCGGGGCGATTTTAAAATGCTGGCGGGCGGGAGCGAAGTCTCCGCTGCCCCGAGGAGATTTTAAAATGCTGGGGGTCGGCAGCGAACGCTTCGCTCCCGCCCGCCAGCATTTTAAGATCGCCCGGGGCAGCGGAGAAGTCTCCGCTGTCCCGGGAAGGCAGGCGGGGGGAGCAAAGACTTTTCCCGCCCCCCCGCCCCCCCGCCCCGCTTCGGAGCACCGGGAGAAGCGATCTCCCCGCAGCCCCTTGCTTCAAAAGAGGTCCGGGGGCAGCGGGGAAGAAGCGCTGCGCTTCCCGCTGCCCCCGGACCTCTTTTGAAGCAAGGGGCTGCGGGGAGATCGCTTCTCCCCGCAAACCCTTGCTTCAAAAGAGGTCCGGGGGCAGCGCAAAGCGCTTCCCGCTGTCCCCGGACCTCTTTTGAAGCAAGGGGCGGTGGGGAGAAGCGATCTCGGGCGCCGCGGCGCGCAGGCGCACTGCTCGCTCCTCTTTCCACGCAGGCGCCTTCTCTCGCTCTTTCGCCTCCTTTTCTTTCTCTCTCGATGGTCCGCCTACAAAGGAGCGAGGGAGGCGCCCGCCATGTTTGGATTTGCATCCAGCAGGAGATGCCGCCGCCGCCGCCGCCCCGCCTCTCGCCGCCCGCCTCCCTCCCACGGCACACCAGGCAAGGTCTCACGGCACACTAGTGTGCCGCGGAACACCGGTTGGGAAACACTGATCTAGTGTATTGGAAGAAAAAGTTGTATATAAATGTAAAAAATAAAATTACATTTCCACATTAGTGTACCACAGAAGAGCAGGAACTAGGCAGGTCCATCCTGCCAGTTGCTTATGTAATTGATTAGACAAAAAGCCTACATCATTCAAACAAGCAAACATATATACTATTTGTTTCTTTACATAACTGTAGAGATTGGCTGATTCTTCCATCAAAAAGGCTGATCGCCGAAGAATGGATGCTTTTGAATTATGGTGCTGGAGAAGACTCTTGAGAGTCCCATGGACTGCAAGAAGATCAAACGCATCCATTCTTAAGGAAATCAGCCCTGAGTGCTCACTGGAAGGACAGATCGTGAAGCTGAGGCTCCAGTACTTTGGCCACCTCATGAGAAGAGAAGACTCCCTGGAGAAGACACTGATGCTGGGAAAGATGGAGGGCACAAGGAGAAGGGGGCGACAGAGGACGAGATGGTTGGATAGTGTTTTCGAGGTTACCAGCATGAGTCTGACCAAACTGCGGGAAGTAGTGGAGGACAGAGGTGCCTGGCGTGCTCTGGTCCATGGGGTCACGAAGAGTCGGACACGACTAAACGACTAAACAACAACAACAACAAAGAGATTGGCGAACTATTCTAAATGTTGGGTGCCTCAAAGCCATATGTTTTATTGATTGATATAAGTTTTATGTTAGCAATTTCTCCAATAATAATAATGTTATTTTTTATATGAAGCCCATCTGACTGGGTTGCTCCAGCCACTCCAGGCAGCTTTCAGTAAAATATAAAAATGCAACAAAACATCGGGCATTAAAAACTTCCCTATATGAGGCAAGGAGATCCTGGTGCATATATTATTCTCTCTCAACTGCACCCCCCCCCCCCCCGCTTCAGCCAACATTTTAACCTTGCAACTGTCGTGCTCAGTAGCTCAATCAATGAGATTCCTGGCTAAAAGAGAATTTGTACCTGGAATCTTCCTAATTCTAGTCTGACACTCTAACCCTTGCATAATACTATACCATTGGATTTCCTTATCAGTTTTACTAATAGACAAATGCAGCCAACTTTATTTTTACAGGGATATATTACCAAGCTTAGGAGTTTGGCATGCATATCATTTCAGGCTGTGCTGTTTCCAGTTTATCCAACAGCATTGCGTTTATCCAACAAGGGTGTGGGGAGCCTGGGATAAGCAGCAATTCCATATGGAGTACAGTGGTACCTCGGGTTACATATGCTTCAGGTTACATACGCTTCAGGTTACAGACTCCGCTAACCCAGAAATAGTACCTCGGGTTAAGAACTTTGCTTCAGGATGAGAACAGAAATCGTGCTCCAGCGGCGCGGCAGCAGCAGGAGGCCCCATTAGCTAAAGTGGTGCTTCAGGTTAAGAACAGTTTCAGGTTAAGAATGGACCTCCAGAACGAATTAAGTACTTAACCCGAGGTACCACTGTACTTTGGTACTGCAAATACATCCACATTTGCTAGCAGCCCTGCACTTCATTCACATTTATACTGCACTTATTAAATGTGCACAGGGAGTTCAAGTGTAGCTTTCTGAGCTGTGTGACTTACATGAATGAGGGAATTACACCAGGGGTTGAGGGAGTAGCTGTGTTTGCCAGTTGCAGCAAAGACTGTGGAGAGTCTTGTGGCACCTTAAGGGCTGATACGTTTATTGTTCATGGACTAGGGCCCACTTCATCAGTCACTTTTCAAATTTATCTAAGAAGAGATAAAATAGGAAAGGGGGTTTCATCCTGACGGATGTGCCATATCACGTTATTCCATCTCTTGCAACAGCTTCAGTGGGCGGCACATCCCGTCCCTTCTCTGAAGCATCAGAGCTGGTTTAGTCATGTCTCCAGTAGAGCATTGCTCAAAGTGCACTAAGTTCTAATGAAAATGTAGACTTGTCCATGAATGTAAACAAGTAGCAGACGTCCCTTTACTTAATATGAAACCTTTACCTCGTATGTTGAAGTGGCATTTTACACTGACCTCCTGTCAGTCTTAAATGGCAACTTATATACTGCTACTCCAGAATGGGAAACTTGGAGGCTTGCCCCAGGTTAAAATAGCACAGCTGACAGAGATAAGTGTCTGGGAGTGGAATGTGTGCTAAAATTAGTAGGATCACTTACTTCGTGTTTTGCTTTTTAATTTGTCGTGATATACCGAAAAATGGTCCGGATGCTGGGTAAAGTAACAGACATAAAATGTTAACATATTAAAGGAGCTCATTCTGCATT